GGACTCACCTCAATGGAATGGAAGCAGTTCTGCATGACTGTGAAGAGGTAACTGACATCGAGAGTGGTCATCTCTTTGATGTGTGTGGTAACCGACTGGAAAGCTGACAGGCGAAGGTCGAAATTGACTTCATCCAGGTGTTTTCGGTCGAAAGCATTCAGCTGGAATAGAGGCGAAAATTAATTCATTAGGGATGGTCTGATTGGTCGCAAAATTCCGAAAAGACAAGGCAAGGTTATACTAATTGAAAAAAATATTGGAGAGAGGGATAACCTTGGCCGTGATGTCAGTAATGTACTTCAATCCACTGTCCAAATCCGCTAATGTCTGTAAATAGAAACAGGATGGATTTGAAACAATATAACTAAACACTAGACGTGTAAAAAAAAACAAACACATTTTTATTCGAGATGTTGATACGAGATATCAAGGTGTTGATGACAAAGGCGGTTGTAGTTTGTGACCTGGAACAGCCTGCAGAGAGTCTGACGGGACAGCTTGTTCTGGATTATGGAGAAGAGTCTGGCTATGGGCTTGAGGAAGGCAGCTGGGTTTGCGCTTTGCTTCAGTAAGTTCTGAGTCGTCTCCAAGATATCAATCTCTGTTTCCTGAAGAGAAAAGAACACCTGTGAATACTGGACATGTAAACAAAAAGGCCAAAAAAAAACCCACTGACATTTTATGATATCCCAGTTTTTGTGACAGCATTAATGACACCTCTTAAGGTCCTTTAAATTAAAGTAATCTGCTCTGCTTGCTTCCACCATCACATCAGAGCTGAAATAATGGGCAGTTTGGCAAGTGCTCAGGGCTCTGGACTCCTGACCACATGGCTGTGGGTTCAAACCACAGGTGGGAACACAGCTGCTGTACTCTTGAGTGCTGAACTTTACCCAGAAGGCTCCAACAAACCTCGCTGCATTAACTGCTACCAAAGTCTGTATCTAAAACAAAAGAAGTAACTAAGCTCCGTAGGTTGCTCTGGATAAAAGTGCCAGCTAAATAACAAGTCTCTTCAACGCTTTAAGGACAATAATATATACATCTCCTTGGCCCACTGCTAGGAGAAAAATCACTTTTCGTCACCAAATCAAGGACTGCCAAGGACTCCCTAAGTCAGAAAAAACATACCTGTGTATTGTTGGGCTTGTGGAGATAGGGTAAAAGGAGTCTAATGAGCACTGAGCTCTGCTCCTTGTCACTCACAAACTTGCTGATCCTAAAAGACAAACAAAGCTTGGTGAATTTCCATTGCTGTAAACGAATCACTAGTTGTGAAAGCATGAGAAAAACACTCTTAGCTTTTTCTTACACGTGTTTAAAGCCCATTAGCACCTCTAAAGGCCCAGTAACAAATCGCCAACATACTTGGACAGGATGCCGAGCTCCTTGCTGACTTGTGCCCTGAACTTCTTCTTCTTCATCCGCTCCGCGTTGCCCACCACCCCGCTGAGGTACTGCAGCACGGCCGGGATGCAGGGCAGGAGCAGCTTGCAGCCCAGGGTCAGGTGCTCTAGACGGAGAGCAACGAGGGTCAAACACTCCCGGACTACAGCATCTATCGGGCGGATAGTTCATTCATTCAAGTTCAATACGTTATTGCCACAACAACTACTGTAACCGCACGGAGAATGATTTGCGGAGCTCATTCCATTAAAAGACATACAACGCAGACATATTTCTGTCCTGCGACAAATTTCATTGGCAAAGGCACAGACCAAGTCAACACAGTGGACTTCTGCAGGATACGTAGTGAAACCTCGAATGAGAGAGGCACAAGTGAAAGCTAAGTGGAGATGCACTGAAACCCAGGAACAGGAAGCTCTTCTTTACCCAAAGGGTTGTGGGAGAGTGGAACAAGCTACCCTGCCACGTTGAAGTCGATACTGTGGCTCCTTCTCAGCTACTAAGTACCAAACCGATGGGCAGATGGGTCTCTTCTTGTTTTGTAACTTTTTTATGTTCTTATGTTACAACTGGCTACATTTCTTAATAGCTGTTCAATAACCACACTCAAAAGCTGTCCCGGTTTTATCTGTCTTCCGTTTTCCTCCCCCCAGGCAACCCACGCTCCTGGAGCGGTACCTCCGGCAGCGCCCGTCCCTTCCGCAGGCTCCGGAACCACACAGCAGCCGACGGTCAGAGGGCCGGCGCCCTCGCCGGGCTCGAAGTCGGGCGCGGACACGAGGCTCTCGGCGACGTCCATGACCACGCTCACCGTCGCCTGGGAGACGTTCTTCGCCGAGAGCAGAGCGAACACGTTGTGGAGGACGTCGCACTCCGGGCGGCCCGGCTTCTGCTTGGCCAGCAGAGGGAAATACCTGGAGCCAACACACACAGTCACATCACACGGCCTCCCAACGTCACGCGCTTTTACTGTGCGGCACGGCCAGCGAAAGGAGGCTTGCGAACTGAGCAGACCCCCCACACAGCGCGTCTGTGCTAAAGCACTGCGTGCTCTGAAAGTTAAAGAGCGTGGAAATGACCTAAATAAAGGCTCTCACACCTTCAGCCCTGAAGTGTGTTTCTCGTTAACACACGCTTGGAGCGAAGACTTCGACTACAGGTAGGTTCCAACAGCTAGCTGATATACTTGCCTCTAAAGAAGGTCTTTCTCTAGTGAAAAAGGAATCGTCTCCCGCATCACTGAATTACCGGGGACGCTGCCATGAAATCAGGTATTTCTGCTGCTGGCAGATGTGTTTTGTATGACAGGAGTGAGAGAGGTTAGGACAGGAGCCTCACCTGGCATTCCGACTCCACACATGGAGCAGTTTCAGCAGTGGGGTCGGTGCATAAGGGCTCTCAGAAGGAAGACGGGTGACCTGTAATATATCCAAAGAACTGCGCGTTTCTTACTCTGGAAGGATTAAAACAAAGCGCACATACAATGCTTTTCTTCACAAACAAGGGAGAACAGCCCTATAACATCAATGTCTGATTTATTGTTGAAGAAGAGATTGAACAATGGCTGAGGGTTAAATATGATAGAGAATGCGCACAGCCCGACGTCCTTCATGAGAGACGCAACAAGGACGAGTGCAGACACTGCGCTCCCCACCTGGGGCCAAACCACTGCCAGGAACACGGCGTCAACTTCCTCCGCAGCAAAGCTGTAAGACTCAAAGCCATCGAAGAAATCCTGGATTCGGAGGATTCCCAGGCGCCTCAGGTTCTTCAACGGGCTGCGACATCCTGCTTGTACCTGCAAACGGGAAAGAAGTGAGAACTCCAGCCGAGAAATCTGCCGGAAGGGTCAGACGATTCTTCTGGTCTTCGAAGCTCCCTTTCTGTGCAGTTCTGTGAATGTGTTGTTCAGGTGTTATTTCTAAACATTTACTCAAATACCGGTTTGTAAACAGAAGATGGAACAAAATAAAGTAAAACTCAAATCTTCTAATGAGTCCCCTTACTGTGAAGTAACAATCCCCCCCCTTTGGAAACAATACAAATTCCATCTGCTGTGTCTAGGAGCCATAATCCGGGACAGGAAAGTGGCTCAAGGAACACTACCACTTGGGAGTCACATTTTCGATTAACACAAGGTCATGAGGTCCGGAACACAACAGGGAACATGAACATACAGCACCATTAAGGAAGCTCATAAGAGCATTCTGTACACTCTGTTACTAAAACATCTAGTTTATTTTGAACGTCACACTCAGCACTGTAGCTTTTGTTGCTGAGGGTGTAGGTATGGTGCACACTTCGGCATACTTGCTGCATGAATAAGCAGAACTGACTGTAAGAGCTGTTTGTTCCTAACAATTACAAAAGGTCAACCCTCTGCTTTGAGAAAACTGTTTCCTCCAGGTCACGGCTGGATGAGATCACTGGATCGCTTAACTAATTGTAACCCACGAGTCCGTTTGCCCAGCCTGCCTCCTCTCGTTAGTAGCCTGACGTTCTAATACCGATCTGCTCACCTGTTCCCTTCGGTCCAGCACGGCGGAGGCGGAGGCTGTGACACACAGGAGGATCTGCAGTATCTTTGGCAGGTAGTGGTGAATCAGGTGGCCCAGTCGTTTTATGACGAGCTCGATGCTGTTGAGAATGCTGTGCTGTTGGCCCAAAGGGAGCACCCTGGACAGGTCCGTCTGCTCCAGGGCTCGCTGTACCGCAGCCAGGCAGGGACCTGCAGGCAAGGGGCGTCAGTCCAGCTTACAGCTCTCCCCGTTTAGGAGCGAACAGCCGACGCGAGAGAAAACAGTATTATTTCATTAAAATTACTGTAAAACCGTTTAACATAAAAACACACAGCAAAACCGTGCTGTGTGCTGTTAAATGGGGACAACTCGGGGACAGAGACTACAACATCGCAACGCTGATACTGCAGAGGGAGGCACCTTGGCTGTAGTGACGGACGGGCTCCAGGAGGAGGTCGATGAACATCCCGATCTCCTCCGGGAGGGATCCCGCTAGGAAGCGCAGGACGATGGATGTCCGAGTCACGGCTCCTGCTTTACCCTGGGACCTGCTGCCCGTCTTACTCCTCATCCGCCCGTAAAGGATTCTGCAAAACAGGGCCCGCATGCACACTGACTCTCCCTTCGCCTGGGGTATCACCCCCTTAAAACACATCCAGGAGACCTGACTGCGAAATGTAATCCTCTGCAGTGGTGGTAAGGTGGTAACAACAACAACAACAACAACAACAACAGCTACACTTTTCTGGACACTGCACTCAAAGCTCTTTACAGGATATGGGGATCCCCTCCACCACCACCTGTGTGCAGCCCCACCTGGATGATGCGACGGCACCCAGAGTGCTCCAGTACTCTCCCCACACACCAGCTCTCAGTGGGGAGGAGAGCAGAGTGCACCAGTACTCTCCCCACACACCAGCTCTCAGTGGGGAGGAGAGCAGAGTGCACCAGTACTCTCCCCACACACCAGCTCTCAGTGGGGAGGAGAGCAGAGTGATGAAGCCAGTTCAAAGATGGTTATTATTAGGAGGGCCATGATTGGTAAAGGCAAGGGGGAAATTTAGTCAGGACTCTGGGGTTACACCCCTACTCTTTTCAATAAACACCCTGGGATTTTTAATGACCACAGAGAGTCAGGACCTCAGTTTTATGTCTCATCCAAAGGACAGTGCCTTTTTACAGTAAAGTGTCCCCATTACTATACTGGGGCATTAGGACCTACACAGACTGCAGGGTGAGCACCCCCTACTGGCCCCACTGACACCTCTACCGGCACCAGCCTTAACTTTCCCTGGAGGTCTCCCATCCAGGTACTGGCCAGGCTCACACCTGCTGAGCTTCAGTGGGATATGCTAAAAATATGCTGCTGGCTACAAATATGGTACAGCGAGTGTCTAACCATTAAAAATGATCATTAACAGGGCAGCTATACCTCCATATACAACCCAGTGTGAAGACTTTGGTTTAAGCAGAACACAATCGCATTCCCAGGCAGCCACAGCTCTGCAGAAGGTCTCTGCTCGGGGCTGGGTTCTGGTCTCACCTCATTAGAACAGGCATGAGTCCCGGTCTGTGGGGCGCCTCTACTACAGCACACTCTTCAGAAATGTTAAAATGAACAATCTCCTCTTTAAAGAGCTTGTCATCCAGGAGCCTCTGGAGGTTTTCCCTACAGAAGGAGACAAAATCAGACATGAGAAAGCGTTTGCCAATATGATTCATCTGTTTTCCAGTTTGCCCCCAAACAACAGCACAGCACACTGTTAAATCGACTGCGACTTTCTTCAATGGTCTCGGAGACATTACTGCTGGTTCTAGTAACATCGCTTTATTTTATTTTCCAGTAAACACTTGTGATTGCTCACAACTCATTCTGTAAGCCCAACAAACAAACAACCCAGTTCTTTTAAAAAGTTAAACTTACTTCAACAGGACAAGCTACTTTTAGCGCAAGTACTTTGCCAGTAAAATCTAACACTATCTGAGAAAGATCAGAGCTCAAATCCTGGCCCTGCAAACTTGGTTGGGATTGTCGAGCTGAACAGGAAGACATCAGCAGCAGTGTCAGACTCCAGCTGTGCTGGAACAACAGTTCAGCAACGTTCGTCTCATTAAAGACGCTAACAAAACCAGAACACAAAAACACAATCCGGAAGGTCCTGTACTAGTCATACAACATTCAAACCTAATTGGGCATAAAACCTTCAAACAAAGCGTATGCTTTGGCACAAAATGTTGGTGCATAAATTTGAAGTGCTCTCACCAGTGCTTTTGCACATTCAATGAGTAGGCCTGATGTAAGAGTGGAGGGCAGTAAATCTCTTAAAGACCTGGTTGTCGTGGACAAGCCTGAGCAACAAGAAAAGAGGTGTAGACAGGAAGCCCCCGCAACAGGTTAACCTACTTGTAAGGCAGAAGGAAGCTGTCTTTGTAAGTCAGGATGCACTCCAGAGCTATTTTCTGGATCCCTTGGTCTTGATGGGAAAGTAGCTAAATGTAAAAAAAAATCAAACGTCACGCAAAGTGATAGCAGTAGTTTTCAGTACCTCTTTGAGATCAAATTTCTTTCAGGATAAAATATGAGAAACAAGAGTTTAAAAAAACAAAACAAATCAGAAGTCTGAAAAAAGTCATTGTCTGCATTTTAATGTGATTCATTAAAGACCAGATCAACTTTCAGGGCAGACACAGCATTAGTTGGCAGGTCACAGGTCCAGGTAACACTTTACATGTTGTACTACACCTCTAAGTTATTCCTTATTTAAATGGCAAATTGTTCTAAAACACCATATGGGTTATTCCTCTGTTACCTGTGAACATTTTGCCAAAATTAGTTTTACATCTCATTCATTATCAAACTGCACAGCAATGCAGTCTCTCATGCTAAGATCCAGGTAAAAAAACATCACATTAAGAGGGACAGGTATCAGCTTAATGTAACCACCAAACCCTTTCCCACAAAAACACTCAAACAGCTTGAAAACAAATCAAAACCAAATACCCGAGTGTACAGCTCTCTCAGTTTTGGCTCCAGATAAAGGGACCGTGGATTGGCAAACAGTGAGAACACTTTCAGGTGTGCGATCAGCTGCCTGCCAAAGAAAATGTATTGTAAGACTTACAAAAATTCAATTTAAGGAACAAGTAAATCCGTTTTCCTCTTGTGAAAATGAAAGCGCTTCTGCCTCATTCGGTGAATTAAGGGCGACCCTCAGGGGCGCCAGATTTCACAAGCCACTTCAATTTCGAAAAGAGCCCTGTGATCGTAATAGTCAGAAACATGCCGATAAAGGCATTTCTTACTTTTAACGCTGCAGATTATGCAACAGAGGGCTTCAGAGTCGGCGCGTTAAAGAGTCGGTTATACTGGCAGAAGCAGAGCTGATGTGTTTGCAGTTTGTGAACGAAATGAATTAAAACTCCCCCCCCCCCATCTTGCATCTTCATCTAGTAGCAGCCAAACTGATCCCAGGGTCTGGCCAGGCTGTACTGTGAAAGACTCAATCTGCTTCAACAGGATGGCTGGGCACCTGGCTCCTGACACCCACTGCCTTTTATGCACAGAAGGGGCTCCTACCAAGTAGAAAAATGACATAATCAGGATCTAAATTGTTCTCACTTAGCGGCCGCCTTCCTCGGCGTCTTTTTCCCAGCCTGCTTCCGTGGCTCTGCGCGGTCTTTCTCTTCCTCCTCCTCCTCCTCCTCCTCCTCGTCTTTCATTCCCACGTCCTCCTCTCCGGCCTCCTCTGGCTCCGGCGCAGCACCGTGCTGCTTGCGCAGGTCCTGCGTCGGCGCCACCAAGAGATCGGCTGGGTAGTACTCGTTACTGCCATGGAGGGACAAGAGCGGACAAGCTGCACTCTCACCAGGGCTCGCTTTCACATCGCGCGAATTCGGAACCGCTACCTCCAGCTTAAAACGCTCATTATTAAAAAATACTTTCATTCCTCAGGGCTCACCATTGCGAAGAGCCGCAAAGTGCTTCACGTGCAGGAGGGGCCCCACCTGAGCGACACGCCGCAGTCCAGCTGCAGGAGGCAGGAGCTGCCTCATTCGGTGAATTAAGGGCGACCCTCAGGGGCGCCAGATTTCACAAGCTAAGAGTGAAACTTAGCCAGGACACCACAGTTAATGCCACTTCTCTTTAGAAAAAAGAGCCCCAGGACCGTAATAGTCAGAAACTTGGTTTAAGTGCTCACTGAAAGGACAAATCCTTCTAGAGTACAGTGTCCCTGGTCACAGCAGACAGTACTGGGTTTAGAAATTCTGCTCCGGAGTGAAGAGCGCCCCCTACTGGTCCAGCAACGTCACTTCACAGCAGCAACCTGGGTTTCCCCCCCCGAGGGTCTCCCAACCCAGCCCTGACCAGGCCCAGCCTTGCTCAGTGTTAGAGCTCTCCTCTGCTTAGTGTAAGACCCGTCGTGGTCCAGCCACAGAGCGGTGATGCTGCCAACACACAGCACGCAGGAGCGAAAAACCCCTTCGAGCCGCCCGCCCCGCCCCTGCAGCGCCTCACTTACTCAGTGAACCTCAGCAGCAGCGGAGCCAGCTCCCTGGAGCGGGGCTCCACCCTGTCGGGGAACAGGGCCATCGCCTTCCACAGCAGGAACCGGAAGTTGGTGAAGTCGGTCCGGTCGTCCAGCTCCGTGGCACCCCCGAGCTGCTCGAGGTACAGCACCCCCACGTCGCCACATGCAACTCTGTCCCGATCAAGGCCCGTACCCGGCTCCTCCTTGGCCTCCTCACGGAGCTCTTTCTCTGTCGGGCAACCAATCAGAAATGGTTGGAAATACTTCATGTAAGGATAAGGCCAAGACTAGTGTGAGGTTCATTTCAGCTCAATGCCATGTCAACAAAACTGATTGGAACTTGCCCCAGTGCTGCCCAGATAAAAACAACAAAAAACACATATTACACTTATACAGACCACATAATACTCGCAACACCCAAGATCTACATATTCCGTTGGCTAATAGTCTCTGGATTGGTGCTGTTTTATTACCGAGCAGGACTACTGTACATTTGATTACGTTTAAGATTAAGATTAAGGCAAGACTGAGCGTTCTCATACAAAACACAACGCGTTCCATTCAAGCAGTGTGTTGAGAAAATTAAGCCACAAAATTAGGTACAGAGGCTTAAAAACTCTTGTTCACCGAGGAAAGCGACAATCAATAAAAGAAGTCATTTGATTACCACAGTGAAAAGATGGAATGAAACATATTTTTCAGTACTGAGCTGCGGAGAGCCTCAGCAGGACGAACAGCCTGCTGACAGTGGATGGAATTAGGCCTCCTACTTTAATTCTGAAATTGAGAGTCAAGAGGACTTGCCTGCTAAAAGTGCCACCATATCCAGATGTTCGTAAAAGACTTTCCAGAAATCTTTATTATCCATGTCCTTGGCATGGGATCTAAAGACAGACAAGCAACGAGACTCAGTAACATCCACAATGATGATATTACGATACATTTTATAAATGATGCGTAAAACGGATCAGAAGCAGCCGACAAATGAATCCTGATGGATGCGTACTGCAACACATGACACAGATTAGTGACAAGTCCTGTACTCACACTATGAGCTCAATAACAGGGTCCCACAGAGGACTGAAGTTGAGGTACAGCATTGCAATCAGGTAGCGCAGGGGAACCTGGAGAAGAAAACAAAAAAACACAAAGACTTCTAGAGGACATGGGCTTGACTTCACCCAGATGTGTAGCTATGCCAAAACAACAGGGTACTATGCAACAGAAAACTGTCTGTGTGACAGCTAGTGAAAAGTCATAGCTTTCATCCATCATCAGAAAGCTATGGCAACCTAGACACACAGGGATCAACCTGGACGGCACCTGGAGGAAACTGGAGTTCCTGGAGAAAATCCGGGAGAACATGTAAACTCCACATGGGATTGTGCCCCAGGCCAGAACCAAACCCAGGAGCTGCGAGATAGCGCCGCTAATTAGTCTGTAAATATTTTTCGTTATATGTGGACTGACTGCACAGTTTTTAAACTAAATTCTAAGTGGTGGAAAGTCCTATCGTGTTTGTCCTGGCCTCTTTTAAAGTGTTTAATTAGTCTGATTTCCAACAGCCCTGAAACTGAGCAATTCATGATCAGACTGCAGGGTGAGCACCCCCTCCTGGTCCCACTAACACCTCTTCCAGCAGCAGCCTTAGCTTTCCCAGGAGTCTCCCATCCAGGCACTGACCAGGCTCACACCTGCGTAGCTTCAGTGGGCTGCCAGCTGTTAGCTGCAGGGTGATATAGCTGCTACTCACTGGCATATTCTCAGTGAGTCCTTAGCTGTGCATTATACAGTTCTAAAATAACATCCCCCTATTTAAATTCCATTCAAAATGAACTGAATAGGTCAGATTAATTGATCATATAACACAAAGTCCATATTGACAGACCCTGTGAATTATCTGACTATCAGCACATTGCATGTTATGAACATAGCGCCTCGCTGGCTCCCTCACCTCCTGGAAGGCTCCTCTGGGAAGAGCAGTCTGCACCAAGTCGTGTCTGAGCTTGCGCAGGTGAAGCAGCTTCTCCCTGTAGTCGTGGACAGTCGCTGGAACCAGCTCTGCTTGCAGGGAGATTGCGAACACTGTCTGCGTTTCCACTCGTTCCTCATCCTGGAAAAAAAAAACACTCCGCTCAGATTTTTTTTTACTACAGTAACAGGAACAATAACTATTACTGCAACAGAACATGTAGTGCACCCCATTTTTTTTAAAACTGTTGAACCAGCTGGACCCTGTAATCAAAATTCAATTCATGGCAAACGGGGGCTGGATTCTGAAAGTCCCTGAGACATCGGAAAAAAATAATTCCAGAAAGGAAAACCTGCCTGCACTCGCTGTGGAAGCTCAGCTTCAAAGTGAGTAAAGATTCTCAACGTCAGCAGTCGAACCTGAGGAGGAGAAAAAAAAAAACACGTTTTTGTGCAAACATGAATGTATATGTTATGTCAGCAAAAGCATGGAAATCAACCAACCAACCAACCAATGCATCCTTCCTTCCCTTACAGCAGAAAAACATGAACGGTCACCTTGGATATATTTGAAGAGAGGTTGCGGTGAAGAGTGGCATATAACCCCAGCAAGGCATCATGGGAGAGGTGCTCAGTGCAGCCGTTCAGAGCCAGTCTGGAGTAGTACAGGTCTGCCAGCAGCAGGGCAGACAGGTCCGAGGGGAAGCTCCTGCAACACAAATATGTAATGTGCTTTCCGAGAAGATTTCCCCGAGTAGGATCGCTCAAGCCTCCATCAATAAGTCTGCACCCTTGTTCTGTGACATCCAATGACAAACACAGTGGAGTCAGACACGAGAGCTGTACACAATCAACCAGGTATGAATTCCCTTTGTTGATGATGAGAAAGCTTAACACTTTGATTCTGAAATGAATGATTCTGATTCAAAAAGGGATATCCACAAAGAGACAGTTATTGAA